CACTCCCAAGATCCAACAGTCATCGTGTCAGCAGCTAGATGAATCACACAAAACAGCAATACATACACTGCGATAGCTCCACACATACATGCCCTCGCCCGAACCTAGGAAGCCACTGATGCAAAGAGTGGAGGACAGCAAAAGGGTTATTTCAAGCCCAGCCGAAGCCAGGATATGTGTGTGTGTGTGTATTTGCGTTCTAACCGGCTGAACAACGGCAATAAACACGTCAGTCTCAGTCGGCTGAAAGCATAAAATGCTTCTCAAGGCAATGTTTTGGGACTCCATGAGGTGTGTGGGTGCGTGAACCGGCACTATCGTGGGGTAAAGGAGTGCCCGAACCGGCACAGTAATGGGCATCCTTCAATAGTGCCGGTTTGGTCTGGAAATAATCAGGGCAGAAGGCAATACCGAGCGGCCCCTTCAACAGCAGCACTGCAGCAGCAGTACAAAGTGCGACCTTTCGTAACATCGTCATCATCAGCAGCAAACAACAGGTCATCAGCGGTTTGCCGTTTTCTTCCCTCTCGGAGAAAGAATATACTACTTTATTTTGGAAAAAAATGCACGCAGTTAGTTCGTCGTATCATGCTGATTTTTAAGGTGCTGTCACTTTGTGGTCGTCCTTGACAGGACCGCCTTAACAACAGAGAGCGGAAGCGAGTCTAGCGAGCCAGCCCTTTTTCTTACACGCCCACCCACCAAGGCTATCGCCGGATAGAGAGTAAAGTACCGACCCAACGAAGTTATACCAACGGAGGAACTCTTCAACCGCTTTGTAATTATATGGAGGGAATATTTCTTGACGTACGTGGACCAGAAACTTTGGTTCTTTCGTTCGGGTCTGCGACCCACCAATCAGTCCCCGCATCCACGCCTTGTTCAGCCTGAGTAATTCACGACGCCTGTTTCAACAGATACCACTGATACTAAGATAGAACAACGTGCTCCCTGGCAGCGCATACATACACTCTCATGTCTTTTTCCATTGATTATGGAGGTCAGAAGTACAGCAAATTCCAAAAATGTAGAGATGCATAGGCTATACAAACATACCACTTTTTCTTCCTTGAGAAACATTCCCGAGATTTGTTCCTGTAGAGTGCACCAGGATTTCTCAGAGTTGGAGGACATGTGCGCCCACCGTTCGTTGGGGGCTCCTCTCTGCACGTACGTCGTCCGAAAAATGGTGTTTGGTCCGGCTCATGCGCCTTTCCTTTTCCTGTACTCCATCGTACGTCTTGAGGAAAACACTTCTTCCTGACACACAAATGTGGAGGTTTTGTCCTGGAAGAATTGAGACCCCCTTGGTGAGATGGTTGCGACCGGCGGAGGCGCAGTTCCGCTGGCGCGCTGTGGTGAGAAATAGCCAATTATTGGCTGGGCTTACAGGTTACACGTAGGTAGAGAGTTCGGAGCGGAGCGAGGCGTCGTGGACGCAAGTCATCCAACGCCAAGAAACCCGACAGGCTGTTGGCACTGCTTGGCGAAAACTATCTCGGAGCGTACTTTTGGCTGAAGAAATTGATATCTATCCGCCCTCCGGAAGTTCTCAGTTTGTTTGGATGGGTGTTTTGCACAGCTTAATGGCATTGAATCCTGGCCTCCATAATTATCCCCAGAGTACAAGGCTCCACTTCTTTGGTTCAACAAGTATTCTGTCTAGGTCCTTTAGTTTCTTTCGAGAGTGTCGAGACCTACTCTCTACTCTCAGGAGTATTTTCCGTCTTTTTTACCTTTGGTCCGGGTTGACTTGTGACTTCGGGATTATTTCCTTTGCTTTGAAGAATAGCGAGAGAGCTACTAGGTGGAGGTCAGAATAGGGTCGGATCAACACTCGTCTGTACTCTACATAATCCGTGTCACGTGCGTCCCCCAGCCTATACTGACAAAGAAAGGTAAACAGAGTTACTTCACATCAACAGAATCGTTTCCAGTGTCGACTATACACAGTCGACTGCATGTAGGCTAAAGGTGTGGTCACAAAATGCATAGAGCGGGTTTCGACCAAAACATGAAAGTCACCCGTAAAATAGAGTCCAACACATCCCGTTCGACTGTGGTTTAGCTCGAACGGGTACAGCATCTAGCTGACGAAGAAAACACGCTTTTTCAGCAGGTACAAAGTAGTTGACCGTGTCAAATGTCTGCACGATTGAACGTTGAGGTGTCCTACTCCTCGTGTGTTTTTCGGCCAGAACAGTTTTCGAGCAACAGAATAAACCTTTCACGATCTTATCGCGAACCTACCTCCTTTTTGTTAAACCTGAAATTCTTTCGGATAAGTGCTATTTTTGTCTGTTCTCCAAAGGACGACAGGATGAGGTCTTTTTGCAGGTTCTCCGTTTCCCTTCTTGGCTGCACTGCAGCTGAAAAGTGTGTATTTCAACTGCACACTTTCAGTTCGTGCTCTTGAAGAAATAACAACATAACTAACAGTACCAGCAATAATCCAGGTCGATCACGATGAAACTGTAGGTCCTACATTAGAATAGTCTACATCGAGGATTTTTGAGAACTATTTTCCGGGCCCAGACCACAGACTACACGAGACACGAACATTGTCGAAATCAAGCCCCTACAATGCACAGGGCTCTCGCGCCCCCAGCGGACATGACAATCAGTCAATTCTTTGGTGGCGAGGAGGACAGCGTGATCAGGTTGTCGGTCTCGGCGGGCTCTTGCTGCTGCTGCTGGTGGCGCGGGTCCTGTTGCTCACAACGCAGGTTAGACGCCGGCGGTCCGGCAAAAGCTGCTTGGCAGAAAACGGGGGTGGGGGTAGCCCGGGGCCGGGCGGGGGAGAGCGGGGTGTACTCGTGTCAACGCATGCCATAGTCGTTAGAAAGTTGACCTCGTATCCCACTTCAAGCACGGCACGGTACTTCGATCTTTGCGCGCTTGCGCACAACAGGTGCACCACAGACCTCGAATATGTCGCATCGTGTGTGATACACTTGGGGGACGTGATCTACTTATGTACTTCAGGTGGAACGTTCAATGGAGTAGTTAGTTCATAATAATTTGCTCTTACAGGGCGTTCCAACTATCCAGTGTTCAGTGGATATCTTGTAGGATGTGCACTCTACAATATTCCCCGGAGTCCACCAGCTCACAGGATGTTCCGCATTGACAATCCCCATGCTCTATTTACCTGTTTCTTCAGCTCCATGCCAAAAGAGCAAAAAACCTACCCGGACCAATCCACCCACGAACCTCCGAGGCGAGGGGATTATTGGTCTCAGTTTCACGGGGGAGCGCTTGAGGGGGGTGTACTTAGGGTTTGGATGCCTTAGCCGCTAGACCATCGACCACGCGTCCTCGAGGGCGAACTTGGGGGGGGTCATTCCCTTAACTTCCCCCGGTCGAATGGTTCGCATACGGAATAACTTTCGTGTCGAGTATCGTAGGTTGTATACAATAGCACATCCCTTGGAGCGAATGCTACAGCTCGATTAACCAAGAGGATGCCACATTCAATCGAGGCAATACTGGAAACCCCTCGACGAGGCGGTTTTAACGCCGCCTTTTCCGGCAGCGTCACTATTTTTGCAACACAACAGTCCGAGGTGTGTGCAGTCTGCGGTATGTTGAGATGATCACTCGATCCTTTTTCACCTCCAGTGCACACCAAGCTACCCATATGAAACCTAACTGATGGCTCGCAATCGTTTGGGCAAAATGCGCACGGTTCTTTGGAACTGGAGACTAGGGTGAGCCTGTGTCCGAATCGGCGAAACACAAGGCGGTTGTAGACTGGGAAGTCTTGTTCAGAATGGAGAGGAGCCACGCTTCTTGCCAGGACAGGAACGAGGTTGCGAACGTTGTTGCTCGAGGAAGTGGCTCATACTTCTACATCTCTGAGAGCTACTCTTATTAGCTAAGACCGAGCAAATCTCACCGTACCCCCCCAGCGGTTCTTCCTGACGCCACAGTGCGGTGGGAGCGTGTGGTTGTTGTTGTGGTTCCAGGTCTGACCATGCGCCGTGAACGGGTTCAACAGGATGCGCGTACTGCGGGCGTAGTAGATGGGGTCGAGGGGGGAGAGGAGGTCATGTGATGCAGGCGTTCTTCGGCCTATTCATGCTGAGATTGGTTTATGTCGTGGTGGGAAATGATAATCGGACGGCATGCTGAACCGGAGCGAAGGCGCGGCGAGGAAGAAACGAATGAGGCACACTGGAAATACTCACCCCTTTGGATCACATACTGGCGTCTTTCGAGGATAACAACACTAGCATGTGAGCTATGTCTGGAGAGATTTGTCAGCAGGTTCCAAAGAGGTCGTGTGTAAGTTTCACAGAGGTCAAGATAAATCGTGAGTGAGTATCCCCACCTCGTCATCTACCGGAGACATTACCCTAAATGAGACAACGTTGAAAGTTGGAGCAATCGTTTACGTGCTCTTCGCCAACACTTACCCCAGCGGGAACCCCTGTCGCTGCCGCCGGCTGTCCCATAAACGTTTGCGGGGGGGGCGAGAAAGAACTCTCACCGCTCCTCGGCCAAGAGGCCTCTGTAGCAGTGGCCGTTGCCGCACGCGCGGATCCACTTGTGAAAGTAGACCGGGGGGGCGTGAGGGCGTTGACAGACTCTCCGCTGGTACTCGGCATGGGCATCCTGCGGCCTGCGATGGATTCGGAGGATCTTCCTGTGGACGTTGACGAATCGCTGATAGGGAAAAGTGGGGCGGGGGGGGCACACCGTGTGTCGAGAGGGGCGGGCAAGAGGCCCTTAAAGTCGAGGTATTGCGTTCCGTCGGCGCCTTTGTTGCGCCTTCTGGAGTGGAGAGGTGGGTGCATTTTGTGCATTAGATTTTTTTATCACTGGAGATTTTCCTGCTCGGGGCGGGCGGAAAATGAATAAAGGAGGAATGGTTCATCAGAGGCTGGGATTTCCGAGACTGTGGGAATGAGCATCCTCAATGATAAACGGAAAACGAGGTCCATATGCATTCCGAGTACGTACTGTTACGCCTCGCAACGATGTTCGCACATATGGTGAGCCGGCCATTGATGGGTCCCAATAGAGGCTGCCCCCTCAGAATCTTCCGATTATTCGCCTTTGGTGGAGCGGAAACGCGACAGCTCTTCTGTAGGGACCAAGGAGCGTACACGCCCGTTGTCCACCAGAAGTGTATCTCCTTTGTGGGTGTTGGCTGTGCTCTTGTTGGTGGGATCGATGTGCTGTGCGTGGTTTGGGGGCGTTCTTTTTTCTCTTGAACTCCCAATCGATTGGCTTCTGGTAAGCTGTTACTCTAGAAGTTTAGTTTGTGCGATCTTAGCGACAAGGTGATCGATGGTTCTGCAAGCTACACTGGCAAACAGGCAAACAAATCAAACAACAAACCATAGCATACGACACGGACGTGGTCGGAAGCCCCCCTCGTACCTGCTGCTGCTACTGCTGTCGTCGCTGCTATCCGAGTCGCTGCTCCTGTCGTTGCGAGTGGCGGTGCTCCGACTTCCGCTGCTGCTGCTGCAACGGCTGCTGCTCGAATCGCTGCTCGAATCACTGCTCGAATCGCTGCTGCTGCTCCTGTCACCACCATCTCCACGCTCTTGTTCGCCCGCCACGTCCGTGAGAGTGCTAATGTCATCCCCGCCATTTCCTGAAAGGCTTCTGCTTCTGCTTCTCCCTTGAATTGATATCAAAACATGAACGTGGGTGCAGTCAGCGTTTGCTAGCAATACGTAAGAGGGTAGTCGGCATTCCCTCAACACTATGGGAGGGTGCTCAGAAAATGGCAGAGCTGCCTCGGATCGGATGGATGTCGTCGACACTGGAAATTAGTGAACTATCGTTCCCCTGTCCCATGTTTTGTTGCCGCCGCTTCTAGGTTGCACTGAGCGCTGAGCAGACTTTGTGTACGGCGGTGGGAGTTTCGAGAACATATTTGAGTTTTCAGGGTATGTATCACGAAAATAGATACATGCAAGGGTTTTTGACAGCCAAGAGCGTGATCGCCCTCCAGAATGTCTTCGATAACAATCACCACCGAGCCGTGGTTCCCTCTCCCTAGAACCCCGCGCCTACCCTTCTTGGCATGGCAACGCCCACCCCGTATTCGTGAAACCGGGCGTTATCTACACGATCGCACACTCAATGGTCAATATATGGCAGACGAAATGGACAAAATAACAGATTCTTGTGTCCGATCGGGGGGAAAATGCGAACCAAACGATCGTTGGACCTACATTTCGTGGGTTTCGCCCGTCCCACATTCTGCAAAGTTCCGGACACTCAACAACTTTGGTGCGGTGCGACACCCATCACGCGTTCTACAATGTGAGAAAGCATTGTTCAAATCCCAACACTGTGTGACGCACTGTTTTTCGACTCAATGGCTCTGCGGGCATTCACCTGCGGCTCCGCTTGTCTTGAAAGTAGCTTTTCCACCGCCCTTTCCATTCAGTAGGGCAATGAAGAAGACAGTAGGTCGCACACGACGCGTCATGCGGTACAGGGAGGCATCACTGTACTGTAGTTATGTACGGAGGGAAAGCGCTGAAGTAACGTCCCAACAACAATACTCCCTGCTATCCTATGCATCCCTAGCACAACTAGCAAGAAGACTGTTACCGTGCTTGGGGTCTCGCCTATCAAAAAGACTGGATAAGTCTCGACAGGGGGAGGAGGGTACCGCGAGTCTCCATACAAAATACAAGATTCATATTTTGGCTTTTGCCGAGATTAACGTTTCTATTAGCCACGTTCACCTGTTTCGGCATCGGCCCCATCAGACAAGCGCACAATCGCATTCTTCTCCACCATTAAGTGCGCACCCACGCCCCCCCACTACTCACCTTCATCATGTTTTTCGTAGGGTAGCAGTTGTTCGAAACCGAGATGACGAAATGAATATCCTCGGAAGGAAAATGAACCATGAACATGACATCGGGAGTTGAACGTTGTGGAAGAAACACGAGCTTCAGAAAACTACTGGTAGTCTGCACATGCGACTGATTTAGGGTGCACCTTCGCGTCCGGCTTGCGCCGAAAGTTCTTCATCCACACACGCTTCTTTGCGGCCTCTGAATCTCCTCCAGATGGTCCGGGCGCCTCTACCCTAGCTACGAGCGTGGACAGGACCGCAGGATGAGCACAAGACACAGGGCCGCCATCACCGTTGAGACAAGAAGGATGATTTTGAGATATGACGGATGATTTTGGACAAACCTTTCCCCCGGAAGCTTCGTCCGCGCTCTTCAAGTTGGCCCAGGAACACTACCACAAGTCAGGTTTTTCATACGACGAGGAATTGGGTGTCGACCATATCTTTCTTGCAACATCCGACACGAAGTACAGTCTGTGATCCCCCAGGTGTTTTCATCGCTCAGTACGAGGCATATTCCACTCGGCATAGCGGTCGGTTTCTACCTGCTTCGATCCTCTCAGCCCACAGCCTCCCCTTGGTTGCGGGGCTCGACGAGTGTTCCTGGCCGAAGAAGGCCGAGTTTGCTACGGCTGTCGCGGTGCCACCTGCGAAGCATGTTAAGGGCGGGGACAGACAGCATGATAGAATAGCACGCCCGATCTCCCAAGAACTTCACGTTCGTCTACACCACACGAGAAAAATGAACTCCAACTGAGGGGGGCTGGGGTCGGTGGGTAAATACGGCAGGTGGGTAGAGAGCCTGTGGTGAACAGTTCTGTTGGTGCCCTGTCATACGGAACGCGAAGCAGGGGAAGCGACACGGACAAAACACAACTTGGACGCACGTACAGCTTTGCCTGCTTCCCACGAATGCCAGAGGAAAGGTTGAAACATTCACGGAAAAACGAGAGATTGCATTGTCAGAAGCACTCATCATCTGTCATGGTGTCATGGAGGAAATCGTACTGAATTAACGATAAACACGCGATACAACCCCACGAGCAATAAAACCCGTTTGGAATATCTCATCGTGCCTGCCAAATGGGGTACCCGGAGAGAAGACGGTCATGTGCGTTTGATATGATTCGGCGCGTGAACGGTACTCGACTGTTCAGGCGGATACCGTACCTAAGTTTGCGAAATATTTGGAGCTGTCACCTGCGACGGCCTCACCACCAGCTTGTCCCTCCACCTTAGTTCTCCCTGCCGTGGTCTGGGCCACCCCCAACCAAGCCACTCCGGCAGCATCTTCCTTGACATGACTACGAAATGGTGGCGCCGGGGGTGTCGGGGCCGGGGGTGGCGATGCAATGGCTGCGGCGGCGGAAGTAGCAGCGGAAGCATGAAAATTGGTTGGTGTAGCGGGCGATGGCACCTGCATGAACCCGCCTCCCGCTCCTCGAGGTGAAGGCCATCCCGGACTGTGAACGGGACCGGCGGGGGTGTTGTTATTGTTGTAAATAGCGGCAATCGCTTGTTCGTTCCACGGCGGGTGGTCTGTGGAGGCGCCTTGGTAGACGAGGGATTGGTCGCCGCTAACACGGCCACCCCCGCCGCCTCCGCCGCCAACGATGGGGGCCGGGAAATCCTCGAAGACGACTCCCGAAGACCCGGGAGACTGACCGGGTGCCGCTGGAAGGTTGGCGTTGTGTTCCGTCCACCTAGCGAATCATGCGGGAAGAGTTTAGGCGCCATGAATGCCCGGCGCCGCGCGTGAAGGGGGGTACATGGTGAGGCGTTTCGTTGTGCTGCTGCAACTATTCTGGTGCTTCACTTCATGGCGAAAGAAGCTAGCACCGGGCCGGGGGACGGGCAGAGCATATCATGTCTATTTTGGTATTGTTGAGCACTTGCTTTCAAAACGTTTGTGGCAGAGTGGTTGTACAACGAGAAGACAGTGCGTCACACTGCTCGGAGGGGGTTGTTGCTCTGCGAGCCGCAAGGAGTTGTTTCCCTGCAGTGCTTCCCTGCGAATGACGTAGTGTTAAGCACCGCCGGAGAGTCGAGCAGTCCATGATCACACCTGATCCGGTCTAAGATGTTAGGCTGGATAACCTCTGCTGCAGAAGATAAACAGCAGTAGTCGAGCGGTTAGCTTTGTACAAGGCAAGGGGGCGTGATTTTGGTCTCGCCACCGGTGCAAGATACATCACTCCACTTTTGGTAACTCTCGTCCTTCTCAGGGCGGCGAAACACCTTCCTGACCTCGACTCCTGAAGAGTTTCGTTCCAGTAGTACTGGATCCCTTCCGCGGTCGTGTACATGATCCATCCGTTTCCGACGTCAATACCTCCATCGGGGGTCTCGCTACTACCGCGGTCGGTGGCGCTACCGCGTGTAAACCCTGGGCGTTTTCCTCTTCCCCTTTTGGTCTTCGCAAGGGACGATGTACCACCTTTCTCCTTCGGGCTTGGAATTTCTGTTCCCTTCGTACCTTTTCGGCCCCAGGGCTTTCGTCGGAAGATCAACCCACCCTTTTTTTCAGGCGATTTTGTAGCAACAGCGGCACCAGCTCCACTAGCACCTGCCGCACTAGCAGCAGCAGCAGCAGCAGCTGTGGCCGCCGCTGGCCCTTGCGCGACCGTCGGCGTCGGTGTGCCCATCGTTGCTTCTTGTCCGTGGTGGACATTGTTGGCCGGTGGAGGGGTCGAAAGTGAAGGATGACAGAGGAGACAAGAAATGGCGTCGTTGTCTCCATTCCTGCGAGAAGGAGGGGGATGAAATCGTTTTTTGCTCATGGTCAAAAGGAAGGAGAATTCGAAGGTTTAAAAGAAAGCTGGATTCGAATTTCCATACGGTCTGTTGATACGCCGGGGCGGCACAGGTAACATCAATCAACGCTGTCCGACCTCGTTTGACGGGCATATCTAGGTCGAGAAGGCGGCGGATACTCGTGTGCTCCTGTGCAGAGGGAGCTAGCTCCCGTTGCGGTTATATCAGACAGCTTCAAACGTACAGGCGCCGCAGGATTTTTCTTCCTTCGTTGAAATGGATCTCGTCGTCTCGTCACCTTCCAGCTAGATCCAGCGGCGTTTCTCCCGAGGAACATGGAGCAAGAGGGTTCGCTCCAGCTGCCAGAAGCTCGGCAATGACCGCAGTCTGTCCGGACATGACAGCCTATGGTAGGTATCAATATAAATCTACACGGTGTGAGTATATGTGGGCCGGTGGGAGCATGTACGTATTACTGTAGTTGACAGGAAGTGTGATATTCTGCACAATGATTGTTTCCATCTCAACTGTGATAACAATACAGGCCACCCCCGCTGGACGCCATGCAGAAAAACAGGTGGTTTGTTCAGCACTTTGTGCTTTTTCCATGGGTATAGTGTAAGTCACGGTGACCTCGACCCGAACGAACGGTGTTTGTCGCGGTTGAAGCCCTTGTCCTAAAATATGCAAGACATAAAAATCGAATGTACACGCCCGAAAATTGAGCATGTACCGAATTGACAAGTGTAGCAAAGCTGCTCCACATCGTGCTACTGCAGAGCACCGACATAGACTACTTCAGCAGTGTTTGAGAAATGTCACCTTGAAGGATACGCCAATACTCGACATAACTCACGCAGTGAAGAAGGGTTTTTCCGTCGCTGCCTGTGTTGGTCACAGCGCCTGCCACCGACATGATGTAGCCTTGGACATAAGCTGTGTCGCCTGTGAGACAATGTTTCAGAAACCCGAGAGGATAACCAAAGCGACTCAGTGCCTGGTGCTATTCTTCGTTCGTCGTTGTCTTGGTTCAGTATTCAACTATCCCAATATCCGCGCAACTTCTGAGGTCTCAACTGGGTACAGAGGCCACCACGGACGGGAAGGGCAGAGCCGTGCCAAAAAAACATCGAGGATTCGCATGGCCGTGCTACGTTAGTTACCGTCTTTCAAGCGTTTGGTCAATGCATGTTTTGCAGTAGGTTAGACTACATAGACTACGCCCAATTGGGGGGGCAATTGAGCAAAGAGGCACCGAGAAAAATAGCGATTATGTAGTCACATTCCGTTTGACAATGAATGGAATGCCAGCAGTCAGACAGAGTGTTGTAGACAGTTATCTATTTTAGCAGCATGGAGATCGTTTGTGCGTGTCTAACTGCGAGGAAGCCGTGTGGAGATCGTTCGGCACAGAAAAAAAGCTACATCAAGGGATACATAACGCGGTTTACCATGAACCGACCGCTTCAACAACGTCCAGCTTACGGGTTTCTTCGCGCAGTGTGTCACTTCTTACCCCTTTCCTGCAACGATCCGTACTGCCAGTCATACTGTGTAGGAATGGAGGGCAACAGGGACAGTGATGCTCACCACCATTCTTTATGAAAGCGTACACAAGAGTAAGTTGTAGTCGAGGCTGTTCGGAGCCTCTGGCGAGATAAGGTCTCTTACCATGTTTGACCGCTTGCCGAGCGTTCTCGAATAAAACTGTGGCTCCTCCTGCTTCCCCTCCATGTATGCCCGGTTTGGGACCGCCCTCCGTCATCCTTAGACGTTGGAATCCTCTGCACGATTCTTACACGGTCAGGGACAGTTCGACAGAGAATAGAACGCGGGGTCTGGTTGTCTGATGTCTGGATGTTGATGTGTGTTCGACGAAATGCGGTGGAACTGGTGACGTTTGGTTGGTTCAGATGGCGACTTCGACATCTAACCTCACACATGTAGAGGGAGAGAAAGAGAGAGAGAGAGAGAGAGAGAGAGAGAGAGAGAGAGCGTAGATGAGTAGATGCATGTGCAGGCTAGCAAGGAGAGATTGAGTTTGAGCTCTCCCAGCAAGAACAAGTGTGGCGGGGAGGCCATTCTTTCTCTACCTTCCGGTACACCACTGAGTTCCTCCGGCGCTCTTCGAGGAACACAGATAAGGTCGTCGTGGTGGGCAAAGAAAGCATCGTGTGATCGCCGCCAAGCTCTTGTCTCTCGATGAGATGGCGTCCAGTATCGACATTCATGACGCCGCACAACAAGGTATGCATACGATCAACCCTAACGACATGTCTACGGGCAAGAGGAGTGTCGAAAGTGAAGGGATCGTGTCTCTTTCTCGTGACTTCCCGCCAGACGTGACCATCACACTGTCTCATCTCGGATAAATCTGAGCCACCGTAGACGCACTCATTCTCTCCCTACGGAGTAGCACTTTCGCAGTTCGAGTTTTACGGTCGAGAAATATAGTACTGGTGCTTGCCAAGGAAATAAGAAGGCCTCTTGTCGCTGAACCCGGACTGCAACAATTCCGACCATAAGTGTGTACAAACTACTGCTGTACTTGTGTCTCCTTATGGTTGGTGATGGACTCCAGCAGAAGTTGTTCGCGCCACACATGCAACCATGTCCCGTCTCCTGCTGCCGTTCACCTGCTGACACCTTCCTACAACGTCCGCTTCGTTTCAACGTTACGTCTGCACGGGCACTGCTGAGGACACTACGAGAAACAGGAAGTACCAGTTGGAACACCATAGTCTAGAGTTACACAGACCTACTTTCCACACTACCATCCGTAGACTACCCATTGTTTACTGCTGCTGCCTTCTTCACATCACATGACCTGCCGTATACGTATACCAAATGACCACCCCACTACCGACCCATGATACCGACAAACAACAAAGTACGTCGATACACCCCACATACATCCGACCCACGCCATACCCATCCAAATATGACACGCTGGCGGCACCAATCAATACAATACCACGTCAGCGCAACACGTGAGGAGTAAAAATGTTCTCCCGTGCCCCTCTATGCCGTGCAAGTAATGGTACCATACACACACACCTCATACTTGGAACAGTTCTATAAGGGTGCCACCGACAACACACCCGACAAACCAACTACCCAACACATTCCTTCCGTACATTCCCAGCATAACATGGAGATAGATGCACAAAACGGCCATGTGGAGAACACCTTCATAAAGGTTGAAACTCCTCAACATCTGTCGAGGACATAACCCTCATTTCCACAACGGCGTCGACAAGAGATGTCAGGTGTCTGCTTTAGATTGCAAAAGACACGGGTTCAAAACCCACTGGTCACCTAGTTTTCTTCCGGAGTTCGGAAAAAAGAAAAACGGTGGGTGGACCAAGAAACTGTCTATAGAACTCGAAACTTCTGGCTATGCGTGGCGGAAGTGGTGCACCCGCACACACACGCACAGAAGAATGTTGGAAAAAAAAGGTGTTTCTACTGCACACACACTTCTCCCTTCTTCCCGTCGCTCCTCGACAAGCTTTTGCTTAGACATGGGTTGTAGTGAAGGGGGGGGTCTTTCTGGCGAGCAGGGCTAGATTCACCCTCAAGGGATGACCGAAACCTTCTTGCTGCTGCGCATATCCGCCGCGAGGCATGCGCGTGGTGGTGTAGTTGGGTCGGCACTGATGGGGTC